CAATGGGAAAGTAGCAGTGATCCAGAATGTATTATATGTACCTAGCATGAAAAGCAATCTGATGAGTGTGGGACAATTGATTGAGAAAGTTTTTTCGGTTACCATGAAAGACAATCTTCTGAAGTTGTATGACTGTAATCAAAAGCTGATTATGGAGTCAGAACAGGGAAGAAACAGAACATTCAAGGTGAATGTTAGAACTGTAGACTCTGAATGTCTTAGTGCAACAAGTGTTGTCAAGGAGAGTGAGCTGTGGTACAGAAGATTTGGTCATTTGAATTTCAGAAGCTTAGGGCATCTGAAATCAAAGAAGTTGGTACATGTAATTCCTACAATCAAGAATCTTGAGAATTCATGCAAGGTGTGCATGGAAGGGAAGCAACCAAGATTACCATTTGCATCAGAAGTAGCTCAAAGAGCAAAGTATGCCTTGGGAGTAGTGCATTCTAATGTGTGTGGTCCATTTCCAGTAGCATCAATTGGAGAGAATAAATACTTTGTGTCATTTGTCGATGAGTTCACCAGAATGACATGACTATCTCTCATAAAGTTCAAACACGAGGTGTTTGCTGAATTCAAGAAGTTCAGACTGAAGGTTGAGAATCAGAGTGGCCAGACTCTGAAGATTCTTAGAACTGATGGTGGTGGTGAGTATAACTCCACAAAATTCAGAAGGTTCTGTGAGGAGAATGAAATTGAGCATGAGGTTACTGCTCCTTATACTCCTCAACACAATGGTCTTGCTGAAAGAAGAAATCGTACTTTTTTTAATATGGTGAGAAGCATGCTGAAAGAGAAGAAGCTTCATCATGCTTTGTGGGGAGAAGCTGTTGTCACTGCATGTTATGTGCTCAACAGATGTCCAACGAAGAAGCTGAAGGAAATAGTTCCTATTTAAAAGTGGACTGGAGATAAGCAAAGTGTTAGTCATCTGAAGGTGTTTGGCTCTATATGTTACAAACATGTCCCAGAAGCCAGAAGATAGAAGCTGGATGATAGAAGTCAAGTAATGTTACTGGTGGAGTACCACAGTACATGTTCGTACAAATTTTATTGTCTAGAAACTAACAAAGTTGAGTTCAACAGAGACGCCATTGTAAAAGAATCAGAAGTCTGAAATTGGGAAAGGTCTCGTCCTGAATCTGATGAGAGAACTCCTAAAGAAAAGTCAAAAACACATGTTTTTGAAGCTGGTAAAGACTCTGACTCTGAAGAAGATTCAGAAGGTGCAAATGATTCTGACTCTGACTCCGATGGTGATTCAGACTCTGGGAATTTTTCAGACTCTGAAGACAGTCAAGGTTATGGAGAAAGTCCAATTTCTGAAGCAAGAGCTTCTGAAGGGGAAAGTTCTGGTGTCTGAGGTTCTGAAGTTCAAATTCAGAGGCAACAAAGAGTCAGAAGCATCCCAAGAAGATTTGCAGAGTTTGACATGTTACAAGACACTAAAGTAGAGTCTGAAGGAGAAGTTATTCAGTGTGCAATGTCAGTAGACTCTGAACCCGTGAGTACGGAAGAAGCTCTTAAGCAGCAAGTCTGGTTGCAGGCCATAAAAGAAGAACTTGATGCTATAGAGAGAAACAAGACTTAGAAGCTGACAGAACTTCCAAAAGGCAAGAAAGTCATCAGCGTCATATGAGTTTTCAAGCAGAAGCTAAAGCTAGATGGATCAATTGGCAAACACAAAACAAGATTAGTAGCAAGAGGCTTTCTATAGAAGTATGGGTTGGATTACTATGAAGTGTTTGCACCTGTAGCAAGACATGAAACAATCAGACTAGTGATTGCAATAGCTGCTAACATGAATTGGTCTCTGATGCATTTAGATGTAAAATCTGCATTTTTGAATGGTCCATTACAAGAAGAGGTATATGTGTCACAATCTCCTGGATTTGAGAAAAAGAATCAGGAATGGATGGTGTTCAAATTACACAAAGCCTTGTATGGATTGAAGCAAGCGCCCAGAACCTGGAATCTGAAGATTGATTCATTTTTCAAGGGACAAGGGTTTCAGAAGTGTGAGATGGAGTATGGTGTTTATGTTCAGCATACTTCAGAAGGTAATATGATTTTGGTATATTTGTATGTTGATGACATATTGCTCACAGGAAGTTCTGAATAAGAGATAGCTGAGTTCAAGAAGGTTCTAATGAATGAGTTTGAGATGACGGATCTTGGAAAAATGAATTTCTTTCTAGGGATGAAGTTTATGTACTCTGAGAAAGGAATCATTCTGCATCAGATGAAGTATGAACTTGAGCTTCTGAAGATATTTGAGCTAGAGAATTACAAAGTTTCTATCACACCTGCTGATACGAATCAGAAGTTGGACTCTGATTCTGATGGAGAGGATGTGGATGTTACAACCTTCAAACAGATGATTGCTTCTCTAAGGTATTTGTGTAATATCAGACCTGATATTTGTTATGCAATTGGAATGGTTAGCAGATTTATGAGTAAACTAAAGTGGTCTCATTACCAAGTTGCTGTCAGGATTCTGAGGTATGTGAAGGGAACTCTGAAGTATGGAGTGTTATTTCCTTCTGGAAGGAAGATCGAATCAGAACTTTTGAGTTATTCAGACTCTGATTGGTGTGGAGACAGAGTTGATAGAAGAATTATTTCTGGGAGGTCCTATTTCTTGGTCTTCCAAGAAGCAACCTGTTGTTGCGCTATCAACCTGTAAAGCTGAATATATTGCAGGAGCTCTGACTGCATGCCAAGTTGTGTGGATTCTGAACTTACTGCAAGATCTGAAGATTGAGGTAGACAAACCTCTGAAGTTGATGATTGATAACAAGTCTGCAATCAATCTTGTCAAGAATCCAGTGCTGCATGGGAGAAGCAAGTATATTGAGATCAAATATCATTTTCTAAGGAATCAGGTTCAGAGTGGAATATTAGAAGTTGTGCAGTGTAGTACCCAGAAGCAGATAGCAGACATTCTGATAAAGGCTATCAAGACTGATCATTTCCTTCATTTGAGGGATGTAATTGGTGTTGTCAGTTTTGTGTAAACATAAATTAAGGGTTGATGTTGGAATTAATTTATAATTTAGGAGTATCTTATTGATTAAGTTTGTTAGAGGGTATTCTAGTATTTTATTATATTCTAATTTTGTGTATAAATAGTCTAGTAGTAGGTAGGTCATTGTAATTCATTATTCCTTATTTTGTAACCGCCATTCAATATATTTCTTTTATCTTTTATCTCTCCTTTGTACACCAACAAGAATCTTCTCTTCATTTAAGTGGGTGATCATTGCCATTGCATTTTTGTCCGCAACGGCTCAAGCACTTCTTTCTTCATCCAGCTTCATGTACAAAGCCATGAGTGACTTGTGATCTAGACGAACTTGCCTCTTCAAATTTTTTAAGACGGGGTCGTCTTCTTCATTTTGAGAACTAACCTCGTTGGAGTCTTAGAAAAATTCAGATGAGTTTTTTGGTCTGAATGTGAAACAGAACAGACAACAAAACTAGTAGGATGGATGCGGAAAGACGTACATGAGCCTGAATCTATAGGGGATCTTATGTATCGCATGTGCAACTTGTATGTTGTGCTATGCCATTTTTCCCATTTTGCAGTCAATGCTTCAGTAAATAAATGGATTTAAGAGAGCAGTGGGATCTAGGGAAATAGTAATGTCAAAGTAATGTGTATGCTTAACAAACTGATGTGAATACATGTTTACTTGCAGTAATACCAGCTCGAGCATTTTATAATTTCTAAGAGGCGTGTATGGATTAAAACAGGATGTTAGTTTTGATCTAGTCCAACCACATAAATCCACTGGAAATTACTAAACAAAGGTACTATGCATGAAATTACAAAATAAGTAACAAAACGTTTTAAGAGAAACAAAATTATTATATGCCATTTAAACCATAGAATCATTATTACAATATTTATAAAATATATTATTTTTTATGACATTGATTTTTTTAATATCATTCAGTATTTATAATTTAATTAAATTCAGTTCATTATCTCCAATAAATAATTAATAAGTATTATTTATAAAAAAGTTGTTGCATTAAACTATAAAATTGATAATTATTAAAAAAAAATTGTTTGTCATAAATTTATTTTATAAACAAATGGAAAAAATTAATATTACAATAACTTATAAATATTATATATAATATTATAGTTTTCAATTTTTCAATATATATTATATAATATATTGACTTTTGTTAATCAACATTAATTTTTTCAAAGTTTCAGATTTCCTATATACATCATATTTTTTTAAATTATTTCAATTTTTTAATTCAATTATTAATATTTAAAATTTTGTATGTATGTGTAGTCTGACGGTGTAGTAATTACTAATATTATGAATTGAAAGTGTAACTCTAATAGAAAAGGGTTAAATAAAGTAGTAAAGTGGTTGATAATTCACCACAAGAAAAAAAAAACCCTTTAATTAGGGATTTAACTCCCCACTAAGTTAAAAAATACTTTACAAAATCAACATTTGTAAGGGATTATGTCCTCTAGCTAAATTACTGGTCGCGGACAAGGGGTGAGGGACTAAACACCTAGCCAATTAGTTTTGGAGTAAATCCCTCGTTAAAGGCAAAATTTGATTGACCATTGGTTAGGGGCATTACCCCTAGCTAAATACCATGCTGTTTTTGGCACAGGTGCTCAGTAAACGCAGAGAGTGTGCAGGAAGGAAGCGTGCAGAAAGGTGCATAGTACAGCGACATTAGCTAGGGGGTTTACCCCAAACTAAAAACCAAAATTTATTTTTTAAATTATAAACGTAATTATTTAATTTTCTTATTATTATTATATTTATAATTAATAAATTTTATAATTATAATTTAATAAAATAAAAAATTCAATATTAATAATATTAATAATATATTTTTAAATATAATACATAATATAATTTATAATTAATACTTATATTAATAAAATACTGAATTAAAATTAAAATATTACAAGAACATTGTTTATAATTATAAATAAAAAGTGTTATTGATAAAGATTAATTTTCTTCATCGGTGTTACTGTCATCATTGTCATTTTGCCCTTGATTATCACGCCCTCCAAATTGTTGCATAAACTGTTGAAAAATACGCGTAAATTCCTCATATTCTCTAGTTTTTCTTCTCATTTCTTCCTTCATTTCTCTTTGTCTCTTCTTCAATTCTTCTATTTCAGTATTTCTCGCTTCCACTTCACGGGCAGCCTCAGAGTGCGCTAATGATCTCACGGTTTCTATCATGTCTGGGGTAAGTGAAGGTTGAGTCGATGATCCTTCACCATCAGCAATTTGCATTATGAAACTCCTATCACGGCGCCAGATTGTTTTGGTGAGACCTCCATCACCATACACTCTCCCATTTTTTTCTCTTCCCACGAGATACATCATACCAAGTTTGAAAACTCAGACTAGGATCAGTGGAAAATCCCGACAGAGGTGGTGTATATTCAGGATGGTGATAATCTTAGGGCAAGCTGTTTTCATACTCCTCCTATTAAAAAGAGTAGGTGTTATTGCAATTTAAATTATACTAGACACAAAAGAAATAAATAAAATGACTAAGTTTAAGGAAAACTTACTTGAGTTTTTCTTGAGCACTCATCAACAAACTCCCCATTTTTCTTGAGATGAGTCTCCTTATGGAGCTCATTAAGAAGCGGAGTTCTGCCCAACTCATCACGCTAAGTAGATGACATAAAAAATAGTTATAACATAATCTAAAATTGTTGAGTTAATTGCAAAATAATTAAATTTACCATTCTTCGTGCAACATCAGCAATACTAATACTACCATAGGCGTAGTTGCAGCCGCCAACTTCAGAGGCTCTATTTTTCTTGGCCTTTTCAGATGTACTCTTAAAGGAATCAGAATTTCAATAGCCAATAAGCTGCTCAAATACACATGGACTTATCCAACGGAAACGCAAGCGTTTATATTCCCAAGTAATTCTAGCACGCCTCATCGTGTCAGAAAATCGTTGAGCACATTTAATGTTAAAATTATCTCTTATTTGGATATCATCTCTATGGTCCCAACAACATTTCTCCTTTAAAAAATATGAAATAAAGTTATAATCGTGATTGAGTGAATTACTTTAATAAAGGTAAAAAAGATCAAAAATATTAAACAAAGTTGATTATACCTGAAATAACCTAAACTAAGCCTCTCTTTCATTGCCATCAACTACACCATACGTATGCCAAAATTTGTTATACTTTTCTTTAATGATCTCAATTATGCAAGTTGCTGCCTGATGTGATGGGTAAAATCTAAGCAACCAAAATATGAGTTAGTATTAATTATAAACGAACAATTAAAATTTATAATTTAAACATAAACACTTATGATGATCCCTCTGGCTGGATGAAAATCGTCCATTCCTCTTCCTAATCACTTGTGGCACATTTCTCAAAATGCGTGCATTCCTATGCTCCTGGTCAGCCTCGTTCAGAACAACCTGCTCTGCATGGTCATCATCATCACCCTACTCCTCATGCGGAGAATGCATGGGTGATGAATGTGACGTGCTAGATCCACCACCTGGATCCCTATATTGCGTAAATGTTGGATCTATAGTAGATATGGAGGTGCTAGGTCCAGCCTGGGGCATATAAGATGTATGTCCAGGAGGACTAAGAAAATATTATGGGGAAATGTCAGGAAATGTAGAATAAGGTGTGGATAGTAGGTCTGTGAATGTAGAAGGAGAAGGATGCATAGATGGTGGTGTGGGACGCATAGATAGTGGAGTGGGATGCATATGTGGTAGAGTAGGATGCATCGATGGTGGAGTGGGACACATAGATGGTGGAGTGGGATGCATAGGTGGTTGAGTAGGATGCATTAATGGTGGAGTGGGATTCATAAGAGGACGATGTGGCTGTTGACTTGATTGTGGCATAGAAATAAGGTTAGTCGTGTCAGGAACTGTGATACGGTGGGAGAACTGACTATGGTTTTGCGTTTGTATTCGCACTTGTTCGGTTGAGCAAGAGTCGCCACCGACTTTTTATTTTATCCTAAGGAAAGGTTTAAAAAGCACAGCAAAAACCTTTGAGATATTTTCTTGGGTTCGGGGAGTAGATTATAGAAAGGGAAGGTATTAGCACCCTTTCTATCCATGGTTATCCATGGGCTCTTAGGTACTTGCTTAGATCATCTTGCCTTGGTTTTCAATTGTTTGAAATGGTGCTTTATGTGTGGTTTTGAAAATGTTTTGAAAAAGATGCCTTGTCTAGGCTACCCTTGTAACAGTTCTTTACTCGAATGTTTTACAAAAGGTGTTTGTCTTTTTGAAAAGATGTTTCAAGGTTTTTTGAAAGTTTGTTTTGAAAGTGTTTGTGGAGTGTGGTTTGAAAAATAGGCAAGTGTTTTTGTTTTGCAAGTTGACAAGTACTTAAGAGCTATCTACCCTAAAGTTCTCAAAGATTTTTGCTATGTTTTAACCCTTTTAACAATTTTGTTCCACCATTGCATTTGGTGGACAATCTCGTGTTAGGATGTGAAAGGGACGGGCGCGGGTCATCGTTTAGACCATAATTGCAATGGTGCCAAGTATCTTTGGGCAATTTTCCTTTAAGGGACTTGATCATTTTTAGGCAACTTTTCGAAAGCGTCGTCGAGGGACTATGATCATTTGAATTGTTTGTTTTGCCCAAAGAGACCTAACATGCAATATGGCCCATTTATTGAAGGCAACAAGTGGAATACCCTAGGGGTGCAAGTGTGATTAGTGGTGTCCATTTTCATGCTTGATTATCTTGAAATTAGGTCAAACTATTTTTGTTGTTTTTTGATTCGCATACAAACCCTAATTCTAACATGGTATATTTAGAAAGCATTAAAGTACGAAAAATAAAGTTCTAAACTATTACAACACAATATATGGGAAGGGGGGTACAAATGTTCAAATAGGGGGTATTTTGACAAGGAATTTAAACCTAGACTATTACATCAATTTTGAATTATTTACAAGATATTTAATTGCACAAATTAAATGGAAATAAAATAAATATGCAAGATGCCAAAAAATGTTTTTATGTGTATGAAAAAGAGTATTTTTATATGTCAAGTAAACAAAATAAAAAGTATTAATTTTTGGGTATTTTTATGCATTTAGGGCAAAACCCTAATTTTATTAAGTAAATGTACTAATTATTCAATATATACAATGTTTAATAATTATGTACAAAAATTAAATAAAAATGAAGTATATTTATAAAAAGGTATTATTAATGTCAAATATTAATAAAAAAATAAAATGTATATTTCATATTTTTTTACCTAAATATTCTAATAAATATAGATGTATTATTATTATTTACTAAATATATATTATATGTACAAAAATAATAATATTTAATATTTATAAAAAAGGTATATTTTATATCAAATATTTTCAGAAGATAAAATAAAATAAAAAATAAAAAAATGAATGTATTTGGTATTTATTCCTAATATTCTAAAAAAAGTATTATGTATTTATTTACATACAAATATCAATATAAACAAATAAATGCCTAAAAAATATAAAAATGGTGTGAAAAATATTTTTTATATTTTTAATATTATGAGAAAAAATAAATAAGTCAGAACAAAAAAGAAAAAGTCAAAAAATCATAAAAATAAGCTCAATGGGCCTAGGGGGTGTAAAAGCAAACAAGTGGTGTAAACAGAAATAACAACACAGGCCCAGCCCACGTGGAGCTTCTTCAACCTCCAGCCATTCTTGTTCAAAAAACGCGTGTTTTGTACCCTGATTCAAACATCCTGATTCCTGGCTTTTTAATGAAAACTCACAACATCAAAAATGTTCAGCATCAAACAACGAATCCATACATATCAAAAACTTGATCTAACTCTAAAAAATGAGAGAGAATTTCTCCATTCCCAAATCTTAACCTAATTTTCTATCAATGTTCAGACATCAAATTCTCATGGCACACGTAACATAAATGAAAACTAACTACATGGGCATGTTCAGGGCTATGAATGTGACATATTTTCTTCACAAACCTAAAGCTAACAATGCCTGGATAGAGAGATACGAGTTCATGAACTTACCTGTTCAGTTGAAGTTGTATCTGGTGATGGAGGTACTTTCAGTGCAAGGTGATGATTGGTACAGCTTCCTTGATGTCCAAGGATGCTATTCCAAGTTTTACTTTGCTTTGAAACTAGCTGAATCGAGTTATAGAACTCCACCTGCAAATCAGAAAAATGAAAATGGCCAAACTGATTAGAGGAGTTACAGTCCACTTCTAATGCTTTGGATAGTTTGCATTGATGGTAGGGAAGGTGTTTGAACTGGTTTGGGCAAGAATACACGATGGAAATGAGTTGTGGGATTCAATCTGCAGCAGGTGCTCTGTTTGGACAGTTTGAGGGTGACTTTGTGTTTGAGAGGGCAATGGAGGTGGATAGCTCGTGTTTCAGCTTGTGTTTGATGTTTGGAATGTGTGTAACAAGTTTGCTTCAGGCTTGGTTAGCTGAGATGAAAGTTGTTATGTGTTATGCTATGTTTCTTACACTTTAAGCAAAAGATGGCCACTTGGTGTTCTAGACTGATGCAGGCCCCCAATCTATGTTGCATACATTGGCCTTGATCAGTGCAATTAGTCCATAAACTTGTGCCAAAGAGATTTGAACTGTACCACTTGGATTGCAAATTTGACATAAAGTGCAACTTTATCAAAATGGATATATTGCTTTTTCTAAATAAGAATTAATTCTCCATGTAATGTCCAAATGCATAGAACAACATCTTGGCACAATGGTTTAGCATTGAATTATTGAGTAAAAAAGGGATTAGAGGCCTGCAATGTAGCTTACACATGCTGAGTTTGAAAATGCACAAGTTATGGACATGTAAATTGGCCAAATCAAAAGTGAGTTTTTCCCAACTTGCCAAATTCGATTCTCCCTAACCATGAGGTTGTTTGATGAGTTCTTGGACATTTTGGAAAGCTTGGAATGTGTACTACAATCCATCTTTGAAATGCAAATTGAAATTCCAAGTGGAAGTATGTGAAAAATGGTCTTGAAGTTAGGCAAAAATCCTGCCTAAAATAGGTCAAATTTTCTCTAAGTTAAGAATGGTTTGGTACCCTTGTTCCAAAAATTGTAACTTGAGATACAAGCCTCTTTTGGGAAAACTTTGTGAATCAAAGTTGTAGATTTTGTAATAGGCTACAACTTTCATGTTTTGACTTTTTCTTGAATCCAAATGAATCTTGGTGAGAAAGTGGGACAAAGTTGGGGAAAAATTAGGGTTTTTCATAACTTAGAAAAATTCTAAGTTATGAAAAATCTTCATTTCAAACCCTAATTTGCAATTCTTGATTTCTTGATGAACAAGTTTCATGATTTGGCATGTTTTGATGAA